TCCTCGTGTCATTTCGCTGGTTTTAGAAAGCCAGCCGTTGTTTTTCATTTTAAACATTGGATTTGTATATAAAATTTTTGCCCACTTTATAAAACTCTTCGCCATAAGCTGCCCTACGAGGGTAACTGTTTTTCACTAACATTTTTTTTAATTGTAATATATCTTTAAATGTGGGCCTGTTCATCTTTCAAATGTGAAAAAGATTAACAAAGACTCCACAAGGTGGATCATCCCCATCAATCGCAACTTCTCGGGCCTTTCCGACTAGAGGAAAAAAGACCTCGAATGTATATGGTAGACGCAATGACAACCCTCCTTTTTCATGATCTTTGAAATAAACGCATGGAGACCTTTTATCTGTGGAATATGGAGTTTAACTTTATTCAATGTAATGATATTACCTAAAATATACTATAGAAGGGACTTCTAACTCCGTCTATCCTACATTCGACTAAATAGGAATTGCATAAATTTTTAACATCCGGCGATGTTTGTTTTTCCGACCTCTGACGGAAAGACCCGAGATGATGCGATTGTCATCCCCATATCTATAAATAAAAGCAGCATTAGACATCAATCCCGAATTAAACTAGTGCTAATTGTAACGGGGACCGTTACAGATGTTCCCCAAACGCTCCCCAACTCCCTTTTGGTGCCATATTCCCTATTAGCTTCATTAAATAAGACAAACTCTACGCATTTGAGACTTTAACAACGTTTACCCAGAAGTGTACCAATTTCATTCAAATTTTAGCATTGCACGCGTGCGCATGTGAATGCATGTGCGTAATGACCATACAATCTTGTCTTTACAATCTATAGATTTTAATATACTAGATATCAAAGTATTTAATCCAAACGTATTAAAAAATACGTTAATTCAAGTGTATTTTTGATTTTACTCATTTCACGTGCACGCACGTGCTCACATGAGCATAGCGACCATACTTTCTTGTAGAAGTCTATTACATCTATCTATGTTCTAAATCCCACCCCGTTTGGTTGAAAACCAAGGGAGTTATAGCTGTTCAAAGTTTCAGCCAATCAGATTGCAGCGCACGTACATGCACGTGTATGCATGTGTATGGTGACCATGTTTTCTTGTAGAAGTCCATTATATCTATCCATGTTCCATATCCCATCCTGTTTGGTTGAAAACCAAGGGAGTTATAGCTATTTAAAGCATAAGCCAATCAGATTGCAGTGCACGTGCATGCACGCTTTTTCAAAATAATTGCTATATATCTTATTGTAGGATATCCTAATGCATGCCTATATTTAAAATTTCAAAGGATTTCGTCAAAAAACAAGAAAGATATTGAGACTTAAGTTTCAGCCAATCAGAGCAAAGCGCACGTGCATGCGCGTGAGATCTTGCTTTTTTGACCATGTCATCTTGTCTATGCTTCTAATATATACATCTAATATGAGTTTTAAAGCATATCATCAATAATTTAAATAGTTACGTCTGTATCAATTATATTGGACATTTCTCGTGTTGCACGTGCGAGCTCTTGCAAGCACACGTGCATGCACATGCTTTCATGATATTTCTTTTATTACGGGCTGTAGATCTCCCTAATGTATGACTATGTTCAAAATTTCAAATGATTTTATCAAAAAACAAGAAAGATATTGAGACTTTAGTTTCAGCCAATCAGAGCGAAGCGCACGTGCTTGCACGTGCGATCTTGCTATTTTGACCATGTCATCTTGTGCATACTACTCATATATCCTTACATTATGAGTTTCAAAACATTTCGTCTAAAAATAGAAAAGTTACGGTTATATCCATTATATATTGGTCATTTTAAGTTTTGCACGTGCGCGCTCTTGCAAGCACGTGCGCGCAAAATGACCTTGATTCCGCAAATCTACATAACATGCCTACTTACCTTAAAAAGGTTTCCCCTTAATCGGATGTGTACTTTACAAGATCATTCGCGGACAAAATTTTCCCGAGAAGAAAAATAATAATAATAATAATAAGAAACAGAGTAAAAACAATATGTTCCCCAACTTCGTTTAAATTACGTCACTTCCATTTGACCAGAAACTCACGCACACACAGTATATTGTATTACTGTATCCCTCCCAACTCCGTTGCAAGGGGATGATTATGTCTTAAAAGTTTAAATAATGCAAATTATTAAACACATCAACCAAGGAATATGAAAACAAAGGTGGGATCAGCATCCCAGCTCCAACCAATCAACAGCAAAAGGGAATTTTCTTAACTATATACTCCTGAATCACATAGAAATGAAACTTCATGTAGTGAAACTTATTCATGATCAGTTTTACTATTTAAATATAGTTTGTATTTTCAAAACACTAAGGCAAAAAGTCTGTATAGACTGTTTTTAATCAATCCAAAATTAAATGTGAAGTAGTATGATTTTTATTTCTAAGAAAATCAAACTTTTTATCAATCTGCAGGAAAACATCAATAATATTAATTATATAATTTTTGTAAATAAAGACTTTTTTCATTGTTAACTTTAGATTTTGTTCTTTTCTTGACGTCATTAATATTATAATAACCTCAATAAAAATAATTTTACACGCTTATAGCTTCAAAACGTTCTATGGTTCTAAGGAACATCTATTCCCAACATGAAATCAAAGTGATAAGAGAGATAACTTCCGAAGTTAATAATCCCAACATGCCCAATAATTTGTCTTTCCACAGCTTACGAGCCAAATAATGCAATGCAAACGATAACTCTTATTTTTAGCCAATGTATTTTATAGTTATTGATAACATTTGTCCCAAAGCACTTAAGGTAGGATTCTTCTCTGGTTTCTGACTAGATGAAACATTCAAAGTATGTTTGCTTATATGTCTTATATTTTGAGGTGTAAGGAATTTAAAAGACCATATTTTTCTTTCCTCATCACAATTGTACAACTTTAAATAGAAATGGTAAACTGCGTTTGAAAACTAGCAGGGACTATATTTTTGGCGGAATGGTGGCGTATGAAAATGTCTTCTTTTCTGCCTCTCAAAATTATAATAGAATAATGAATTTAGTTATAATTTGTACACAATCGAAGGCTTGGAGAAATTTTCAAATGTAAGTTAAATTAATGATGAGGGACTAAACTTTCAAAATATATCAAATAAGTATGATTTTCCAAACAAACTAGAACTTTGTTAGCTTTTAAAGGCTTCCAATCAAAGTGGAGATTTGAGCCAAAAATCCATTTTAAAGTATTTTTTCTCTCTTAGTAAACGATCAAAACTTTTTGTTTTTGTATCATTTTGTACATTTATAAGACTACTTTATTATATATGTGAAAATAAGAAAAAGTTAAATATAGGAAGCATATGAAAATAACTAATATATCCTAAACAAGAGGCCCAGGGGCCACAGCGCTCACCTGAGCACATCGGGCTTGAATTTACTCCCCCCCTCCAGGCGTTCATCATTTGAACAAACTAGAATCTACACTACCTGAGGATGATTCCATATAAATATCACTAATCATAGCTTTGAAGTACTTGAAAAGAAGATTTTAAAAGGTTTCCCTATATATCCCTATGTAAAACTTGGGTCGGCCATTTTGGTCCCACCCTAGCCACGGGGGTCATGATTTGAACAAACTTGGATCTACACTACCTGAGGATGATTCCACATGAGTTTCATCTTTCCTGGCCCAGTGGATCTTCAGAAGGATTTTTCAAGATATTTCCTATATATTCCTATGTAAAACTTGGGTCGGCCATTTTGGCCCCACCCTTTCCCTGGGGGTCATGATTTGACAAAAACTTGAATCTACACTACCTGAGGATGATTCCACATGAGTTTCTTCTTTCCTGGCCCAGTGGTTCTGGAGAAGAAGATTTTAAAGATTTTTCCTATATATTCCTATGTAAAACTAGGGTCGGCCATTTTGGCCCCACCCTTGCCCCGGGGGTCATGATTTGAACAAACTTGAATCTACACTACCTACCTGAGGATGATTCCACATGAGTTTCATCTTTCCTGTCCTAGTGGTTCTTGAGAAGATTTTTAAAGATTTTTCCTATATATTCCTATGTAAAACTAGGGTCGGCCATTTTGGCCCCACCCTTGCCCCGGGGGTCATGATTTGAACAAACTTGAATCTACACTACCTGAGGATGATTCCACATGAGTTTCATCTTTCCTGGCCCAGTGGTTCTGGAGAAGAAGATTTTTAAAGATTTTTCCTATATATTCCTATGTAAAACTTGGGTCGGCCATTTTGGCCCCACCTTGCCCCGGGGGTCATGATTTGAACAAACTTGAATCTACACTACCTGAGGATGCTTCCACATGAGTTTCATCTTTCCTGGCCCATCGGTTCTGGAGAAGAAGATTTTTTAAAAATGCCATTAATTTTTAACAAATTTATGATTATCTCCCCTTGGAAAAGGGCGTGGCCCTTCATTTGAACAAACTTGAATCCCCTTTACCCAAGGATACTTTGTGCCAAGTTTGGTTGAAATCGGCCCAGTGGTTCTTGAGAAGAAGATGAAAATGTGAAAAGTTTACGACAACAACGACAACGACAACAACGACAGACGACGGACAAATTTTAATCAGAAAAGCTCACTTGAGCCTTCGGCTCAGGTGGGCTAAAAATGAAAAAAAAAAACAGAGAAAATTCGGATTAGCCAATATCCAGTAAAGTTAAATTATTTATGTAAATTTGGTAATATCATGCTATAGACCCGATATAGTAATATGTTTTTATGCAAAAAGAACAATCTTTAAACTTTTGAAATAGAAGTAGGTATCACATGATTGGCAACAGTATTTTTTTATTCTTAATGTCAAGGGAAAAGATAATGACCTTGACCTGACCTTGCCTCTAATATAAAACGGTCAAATTTAATTTCACTGATACTATCACTTACTGATATTGTCTTCTTGATTCTGTGAAAATTTCATTAATTTTTAAATATTAAAAATATGAGAAGAATCCTACCTTAAATATATTTTATATACCAGTAAAATTGAAACAATTTCTATCTGTTTATCAACAATTTTCAAACTGCAGCAATGTTTCATATGTACACTGTTTTCATCAGTAGTACATTTTTCTACGAAAAATACTTTTAAAAAAGATAACGCTAAAACTGGTGATGGATTTTCCCCTCTTCATTTTTTTCATTAGCACAGATACATGTAGTGGAATATTCTGAGATGTAGCGATTTATGTACTTGCGGATCCAGAATTTTACCGGGGACATACCAACTCAAAGACACTGTATTGAAATATCATTTTTCTTTCTTGGAAGGCAATATACTATTTACCATTTGAATCCAATGCTGTTGAAATTCAAAGTTTAAACGTTAAAAAAAGAAATCTATTGAGAACAGTTGAGCTTTCCTTTCCTCCTCAGAGTTTAGATTTGCGTTGTGAACTTTCAGACTGCTGTTGAACACGTTTCATGAAATCTCTGAATGCCTCCATATAATCTTTTTCATGTTCTTTAATATGCATTGTATGTTTAGACTTCGACCAACACACAAAAGAAACAGTAAAATCAAACTCTTTCCGCCATTTTTTAATGATATCATCTACAGTCTCAGCATCACACATCGGGTCGTCTCGACTGTACACAAACAGCGTTGGAATATGCAGAGGGCACTTGATAAAAATGTCTACTCCTCTTTCAAAAAACTTGAGAGTGTGATTATATGTCAGACAAAAGTAAATTGACAATAATCGAGGGATAAGAAATTGGAGCAGTCGGTTTTGTGTCAGTCCGTGTTTTACCCCGTTCTTCATCCTCTCTGTGGACCCCAGAGTCAGACTGTCGAAAATTATCCCACGAAGGCGTGCCTTCAAGGAATTGTACTGATTTGGAGAGTCTTTCAAAACCATTAGACAGCTGGTGTAATTGTATGCCCCGATAGAAATAGCGTGACATAGAATGTCTTGGTATACGGAAAGTTTATCCACATATTCTAACAACCTCCTAGCTAGCTTTAAAGAGTTGGGGGGCCACACAAATTGTGTCACATGGCCATTAATGTATAGCAGATCGTAGCCACAACTGTGGTAGAGATGGACATAGCGCTTTACAGCTCGTGGGCTGGCGTTTAACCAACCGAAGAACAGAACCAGTTTGGTGCAATTTGGAGTACATCTTAAAAGAGGAAAATCAGGGTCATCCATAGCAAAGCCTGAAGATGTCATGGCCACTGAAAAAAAACAAGATTTGTTTGTGAAACACTATGCGCCCGACGGCAACAAAATTCGAAAAAGCTATTTATAGTACATAGGTGAGAGTCAAGGTCACAAGGTCGTTGATCTTGGTGTCATCTGAAAGAACTTGATTAGTGGAGTACTCATACCAAATATGAAGTTTATATCTTTCATGGTTCAAAAGTTATGGAGAAGGTTAAAGTTTGCAGAAAAAAAAACTATTTTTGGCATATACGTCACAGTCAAGGTCACAAGGTCATTGACTTTGGTGTCATTTGAAAGAGCTTCATTAGTGGACTATGCATATCAAGTATGAAGTCTCTATCTTTCATGGTTCAAAAGTTATTGTGAAGGTTAAAGTTTGCAGACAAACAGACAAACAAACAAACAAACAGACAGACAGGACAAAAACAATATACGTCCCGGATCTATTGATCCGGGCGCATAATAATTGATTAATTTTCCTTTAAAGGCTGACGGTCCTACTAAACAGAATACGCTAGTCCGATAGAGTACTAGAGTACGCTAGTAAAATTTTATAATTTAATGCAACTAAACCGCTTTTTGTATGTTTTTCTACTTTAGTTTAACATGATGAATATATATATATTTTTTAAAAATTGTATGTTTTCCTTATTTTAGGAGTTATTTCAATTTTTGATTTTAGGTTACGGTTTGTCGTTTGATCCCGATCTAATTTAACTTGAACATGTTGAAATGTTTCATTGTTAATGTGAAAAATATTTACATTGTGCAATTAATTTAATTTTTTATAGAAATTAGTGAGTCTGAAACAAAAAAAGTAATCGAGATCGGGGTGTGAATACCTTGAATGCATTAAAACAAGTTGTATATACACAAATTAACTACCTAATTGCACAATTTTTCTAGCGTACTCTAAAGTACTCTATCGTACTCTAGCGTACTAGTACCCATTGGCTGATATTGGGAGGTCGTTGCATGAATGTTTTAACTATACCAAGAGGGATAACACTAAGAGACGGACCAAATTTCAACATACACTCACTTCTATAATTTTCTGGGAAAAATGAAAAACTAGGAAAATTTTGTAGATAAGACATGAACAACTTTTTTGTTATTTAAATGAAAATAAACTTAGAGATCCATTTAAATCATTTGGTATATTATTATTTACACATTTTCATTTACTCGTATAATATTTAAGAAATCAAGTCCGCGTTTTCGTGAATGTTGCAGGATAACCTCCGAGGTCGAGAAATGTTGTTTGAAAGATAAAAGCCGAGGCGTTAGCCGAGGCTTTTATTTTTTTCAAAAAACATTTCGAGACCGAGGAGGTTATCCTGCATCATTCAAGACAACAAGGACTTTATTTCTATTCTACAAAGATCGCTTAAATAGGTCTGTCGTTTCCTCTGTAGAGAAACGAATTAGGTCACCATGTCTCGATTACGCTGTTCCATTTAACACCAGAGGGGAAATTTATTTGCTTACCTGTAGATGGAATGCAGATGATTTGAGTTTTCGTTACATTAAAGATAACCTTTTTTAATTACAAATTTGTTCGTAATATGTATTGATTGATTTTAATGAATATACAATAACAAAATCAGGTTCCTGGTTTGCTGCTTTATTCTACTATTGGGACTAAAATCACGTTGTTTAAATAAGAAGGGAGGTCTGTGGAATAGCCCCGCTTAGCTATAAAAACCGACTTTCATCAGCAACTTTATGCAATTTACAGTGTTTAATTTTATGCTGCAAAACGCGACACATCGATGTGGTCTAAACAAGTATTTCATTCTACAGCCAAACATGCATTTGAATTGTTCAGGTTTGATACGTGTTTCTGATCTGATAATTTTTTTATGACATTGGTGATTCATTGGAGAATAATGTCCGCGGCATTTATTTGATCTCGGGAGTAATCGTGGTAGAATATAATACTATTTCATTCATATACTCATTCATTCATTAAATAAAAAAAGAGTTAAAATAAATTAGAAGAAAATGAAAAACAAAAAACAGTGTTATAGTCAAAGTTACATGTTTATCTAAGATACATGTATAAGACAAGGTCCTAACACTCTAGCCAGGGGTCTTAGCAGGCCTGTGACAGGTAAAATTGTGTGTTTTTCCCAATTTCATCAAAGAAAATTTCCAATAGACAATTCAAAAAATGACATTAATGTCAAATAATTCAAGTATTACAGAAAGAACAGCAATTACATGTTCAGTTGATTTTCAAAAAAGATTTATTGAATGTAAATAAGTAAATAAATGCCTTGTAAATAAAGAAATGGCTCTTACTTGATTTTTTTCAAGAAAAATGTGAACGATGATATTTTTCACAATTTGAACTATTAAATGTCGCTGATTTTTCCCATATGATAAGGCCCAGGCCCTTGATTTTAAGACCTAAAAACCCTGCTAGCATATGACTGGATTTAAAAGAGCAAAAGACTACACGCCCCTAGAAATTTGTCCTCAATGACCTACCAATAAAATCTCTGCATATGGTTTGGAAAGAACTGATGTACGTATTTAAACACTTAGATGTATTCTTACTTGGTCCACAAATTGATATTTGAAAAATAAATAACAAGTTTAACAACTTCAAAGGGTCGGTCACGTGATAAAATCCTGTGAAGGCTGAGGGCTGTCAGTTGTTTTTATATCACGGTGCTAAAATTTCATGATATCTCAAAAAGTACCAATTGCGATGGTTTTAATTTCACGCTGCAATGACAATGACAATGAATTTATTCTCATAAACTGACATAAGTACAGTGTTGAGAAAGATTACAAGTATAGTTAAACATATGTGCATGCGTGAAAAAGAAAAAAGTACAAAGTAACAAAACTGACAATGAGCTAACCAGGAGAGCCAACTCTCTCAAAAATAATTTTTATAAATTTACAAAGTTTTGTCAATTTAACTGTCTTTTTTGTATTAAAAAGTTGATCAAACTTATACACATTTGGATGTGAATAGTAATATTTTAATAATAATAATAACCTTGAATTCAAAATAAGTGAATCATTACAATTAAATAAATAGTGAAATTCATCACCAATTTCATTTTTGGAACACAATTTACAAATTCGGTTTTTTCTTGGTACATTATGCCATCTTCCAACTTCAATTGGTAATTTATTATTACAAGTTCTAAACTTACAAAATATTTTCCAGTACTTAAAAGGCAAAGATACTAAATACTTTTCTAGACAAAATGAAGTTTTATATATTCTATAATTAAGACCTTTAGACGAGTTAAACATTTCACTATACCACTTCTGTTTAAACTGATCATACTGAGTGTTAAACACTATTTTCTTCAGCCATGATACATTTACAGGTTGACAAGTATGCCAAATATAAGAAAGTCCACATTCATTCAATATAGATTTGGCAAAGTTACACCATGGATTATTGTAGTTCTTTAAAACACTTAACAAATCCGATGATAATTTATCCCTTTGTAAAAAAAAAAATAGTTTACACGAAAAACTTATCATTCTAACCTTTATATTAATTGAAATAGGGTATCTACCTAATTCGCCATATACCATAAAATTTGGTGTTGATGACTTTACATGCAAAATATGCTTACAAAATTTTAAATGCAATTTTTCAATCAGTGGTGACTGATTAAAACCCCACACTTCACATCCATATAAAACTATAGGTTTTACAATTTTGTCAAACATATCCAATGTGCATTCTACATTAAGGTTGTGTTTTCTACATTTTCCAATAACACCATACATAGCTTTCGTTGCTTTCTGAGATAATTCTTTGACATTTGTGTTAAATGAACCATTTTTACAAAAACTTACTCCTAAATATTTAAAATGATCTATGATTTCTAATGTTATTCCATTTAATGTAATTGGTTTTTCAATTCTTGGATTGCCTTTACCAAAGATTACAATTTTAGTTTTATTGGTGTTAACTTTCAGATGCCATTCTAAATTTCATATAAGCATTTTAATGTTTTTAAAAACTAACAAAAATATTCACAATGGATTTAATTTCGAAGAAAAATGAGAAATCGCGAACATAGCGAAATAAAACTATATCGTGATTATTTGCCAATCTACAGTATATTAGTAAATGTTTACAAAATCATGTTTGTATGTTAAGTTTTAGAGTTGAAACCAATTAAAAGATTTATAGGTAAACTACTTATGTAGGCATGATGGATTTATTAATTAATTTCTAATAAATTAATGAATATCAAATTATTTTGTATTCTATTTGTATATATTTTTATTTCAGCTTATTAAATAAGTCTCATGGTCATTCAGATGTAACATTCAATACTACCCTGTTATTTGCCTTTAGGGTCATAATTAAGGTCCTGGCCATAAGTCTCATATGTTCTTTGCTTCTATTGGGTTATAGTTTTGTATTCTTGTGTTTTATTGTTTTGTTGAATTCCCTCCAAATATTCTTGTTTTTTTCTGGTCACTCTTTGTCCAGAGTGTTAGCAGAGAGGTCATATTGATTTTGTATATAAGATGAAGAAATTGTCAGAGTCAAATCTTTTACATATATATGTGATGTCTTTGACTTACTGACTTTGACAATTTCTTTATCTTCTAGCTGTTTTCATCTGGACTCCCAGTCAAGTATTATGTGTACATATGTGGGAGCTTGCCTAGAACATTAGTACTACTACTACTATCATTGTTAATAAACAGCAGTACGAACCCTAACAGGCATTTTCATTCATTCACCACCAGGCACCTTGCTAGATTAAAACGGTAAATTTGTAAGCGACATAAAAAATCTTAAGTGGTCATTTTTTGGGGGTAGAATGATGTTAAACGTGGGCTCAAGTTAAACGCACTGCGTAATTTTTCAAAGAGCATTGTAACACCCATCGTCGGAAACCTGCGGGTGATCTCGTCTTTACTTATCAGTGATAATAAGTGATAAGTTACTTATCACTCATTATTACTCATAATTAATTAATTTAAGACGAGATCACCCGCGGGTTTTCGACGATGTGTAAAACTGGTCATAACCGTTATCTAAGTGACTACAAAGATAACCACATTTGCAGGCTTGTCTAAAAAATCTGTCCAATAAAATTATTTCAGAATAATACAAAGAACTTTACCTCGGTCAGTACTCTACTCTCCACTTGTTTTCATTTCTGACACCAACGTTCCACTTTCCACCCCTTGCAATATCTTTTGAGCATGCGTGTCCTCGGATATTAGTGTGCATCCTAATTTGATGGTGTCCGTTCTGTAAATAAATCTGAAATACTGTTTCATTTCGTAAGTCATACCTTTATAATAAAACGTCATACTTTTTTCTTTCAAACTGATTGTCATCTCTCACGAGAGATGATTGTCATCTCTCACATTAAGTTTGATTTCCGGATGTGAAGTCCTAGCACTGGTTCTCTGCCCTTGATTCCAGTCGCAGCCGCTAGGAATTACAAGCCCGTTAACCAATGTTAGGGTACCAGTCTAGTGAAGTCCCAGTATAAGCTGCCATTGATCACTCGGCAATCCTCGGCTGACTCCACTATGCTACACAGAAAAAGTGCGAGACCACCCGAGGATCACCGACTGGTCAGTTTGACCCTAAATATAGAGATGTAAACAACGAGCGGTCTGCCTTATTATTGATAAAGAAAACAAGCTGCGAAGAAATCATAGAGAGTCCGACACACACAATCGCCTGGATGATGGGGGTTCTTCAAAATATACACTGTATGTTCTTATGTTTAGTCTTCTTGGCTATTACCCTAAATGATGGCCAGAACTCGATTCTAACTAGGTCAGCGCGTGTGTAAAGACCCACTGCAGCCGAGGCGTGGATCCAAGATTTCACAGAAAAACATCAAATTTAAAACATTCACATAAGTATTCGCATTACTAACAAATAGGAATTGATGGTGAAAACTTTAATGTTTGGTAGATTAGTCATTCTATAACGCGGTGTCGTTTTTGTTTTTTAAAAATAATACAAGTCTGATTAATCAAATGTATAATTTCAAAAATTAAAAACACAAGTTATAAGCGGATAGATTAATGTCTATTATATAAAAAAAACTACAGACATTGAATGAAAGATCACAAAGAATGATTATGAGTTTTTTTCTTCAATGGCGGATTTAAGGGGGGCGCACCCGGCGCGCCCCCCTAAAATTGTCAAAATTAACGTAAATCACAGTTTCGTCTAGAAAATGTAAATATGTATACTTGGTAGACCTCATTTTTACCCTACAAAATCTCTAGAATCCAGGAGCTTCCGGGGGCTTCGCCCCCTGGGCCCCCACCTGGGCTTTGCCCAGGACCCACTGGGGGCCTCAAGGCGGCCCCCAGACCCCTTGCCTACTTTTGCACCCCCTCTAACTTCAATTCCTGGATCCGCGCCTGTTCTTGCATGTCTAATTTATTCTTTTAAAGGTGGCTTATAATTAAAGAACTTGCAATCATTTTCTTTAATGCAGTTTAAATTGCATTAATGGCAAAAAAGTCATCAATTCATCCCTCCTATATTATTGAAAGGAAGCCAAACTTAATTATACTACAGAATTGTTAATATGTTTAGTATGCAGATAAAGTTTACTAAAACACAAGATATACGCACTGCACGTGAATTTGAATGGTCACTAATGGCACAATACTGTATATTCCTAAAATAGCCATAAGTTCGGGGTTCGCAAATTAGGACTTTTTTCATATAATTTGTAAATGCTTGATTTAGCTGATAGCATTTAAATGTTATTACTTATGCTAAAAGCATGTGGGCGTTGGGTAGGGGCCCAAAGCCACACAAAAAATGATTTAATTTTAAAATCTTATGTATATTTTGGACGAAAAAACCCGGTGAGCCTGGGCACCCCCGAAATCCGCCAGTGCTGTTAAAAGTTGATTTTGAATATTTAATTTTTTGATGTAAGTTTAGTTCATTTCCCCCTTTATAACCCATGGTCAAGGGGTTCGACACCCATATCACTTAAAGGAATGGAAAGTTTACGGGAAATCTTTTGAAAGGGTTGGAATTATTTAAGTTAGCGCTGTTGTCTGCTGTCGGAGTATAATAATTAAGAAGCTGTGAAATACATGTATGTAAGGTCAAAAGGAAGGCTAAGATTTTACCCAACTAATTCTTGTGATTTTTTTTTTCAACTTACAAATTTTACAAATACTGCTTAGAGGGACATTAACATTTTTTTTTACATTAAAATAATATTACTCTTATGATTATTCAAGGGAAATGGAAATGCGAAGTAAAATTCAAACAATTATAGCATGGCTTACGGGGCAAAATTGGACCAAAAAACTCTTCAACTTGATAAATTTATAAAGGGATAATGGACACTTTTGTCATTAAGAGTTATCTCTTTTATGGATTAAGTTTACTTTGTGAAAGTGCTAGGAAAAATGAAACGTGTCCCAAACTTTGTAGATTTGATAATTTCTAGATAAAAGAGATTTTTAAACATTATTTTAGTATACGAGGGTTGTCCCAAAATTTCGTAGACTGAGCTCGTATCTTTTAAAGAAATTAATGTATCTTTATAAAATTTTCAGGGTGGATAAAGCGTGTTCTTGGCAGATAAATTACGGAGTTTTTTCATGGTTACTTGAAAACTTTTCGAGTAATAACATTTAAAGTGATATAGTTCTCTTACACCCGGAGCAATCTGCAACGTCAAAAAATACAAATGTCAGCCGTTTAAATTTTTGGAGAAAATATTTCAATTACCAGAATCAAATTTTTAGATTAAACGAAACGGTTATAGTTATAAATGTAAAATATCTTAATTACTATGATATGATCAATTATTAAAATATGTAAACAAAGTATATGCATGTATAGGTATGAAATAATAATAATTTGAAAACGTTATATTTCTACGGTCTTTTCGTCTGTTTTCTCTAATGGAATTGCACAATGGAATCTTGCTAATTTCTTAGCTTGTCTTTTATTTTAGTTACTATTTATTCACATATACAAAGAGAAACCGTTTTAGTCATTTTAAATGCTAAGGATGAGAAGAAGTTTCCTAATCTACCAAACATTTATGACTGGTAAATTTCTGTAAGAGTTAATTCAGGATCAAAATATTTGATCATGGTCCAGTGCGCCGCCTGGGCCAACACAGCCGCCATTTTTCACAAATTCGGATTTCAACCCCATGTATATAAAACGTTATAAAATTCATATTTGTCAAAGTATAAACACCAAAATTTGAGGAAATATAGTTAATTACCCAATATTAAGAATTTTCATATCCATTAAAAAAAATGCGGGGTAGTAATTACTTCTCCGTAGGATTTTAAATATAATATATCAAATTTTAACTGCAACTTTTGGGTATTGCGCCGCCTTCCTACACCAGACAATGAAATGTGTCTTTTAAATTGGAATAATTTGTGTAGTTACTCCATATTTATCCATAAAATTGTTAGATAGTGTTGGTTTAATCTATGTACGAAGTTTCATTACTGTATGACATAGGGTTCCTACAAAACAACGCTTGTCTACGGAATTTTGGGACAACCCTCGTATTTCATGCAGTGTAAAATGCTAAAATGGCAACATATGAATCATGATATTATTTAGACAATTTTAGAAAATCAGATCTACAAATCTGTGTACCAGCCCTTTTAACTTTGTACTGCTGTAATTGTTCAATGCCAACGCCTCCCTTATCCATACTTTTTGTTCAAGTATAGTCATGTACTAACAAAATGAATTTATTTTTCGAAAAAATTTTAAAAAGTTAAAATATTTCCTTCTCATCCACAACATAGGATTTTGGAGTTTGATCACTACCCTTTTTCCTATTCTAAAATGTTCAGGTAAGCTGCCACTCCCCTTCCTTAGAAGAATAGAAAAACATGTAATAGCTGAGAAAAAAGTTACACTCCACTGTTTATTCTGTGACTTTAATGAAGCCAAAGAGATGACATTTCAGGCTTTCTGGAAAGCCAAACTTGTATTTACAGATCATTTTTGATGTTTTTCCTGGTTTTACTTTCGTTTTTACTTGATCATTTCGATCCCAAAGCTAATTATTGGTGGCAGAGGATAGTTTCGAATAAAGTACTGTCAAAAAATAGAAAAAATAGAGAAACCTGAGGTTTGAATGCATATTATAGGTAATTTTATAGCTAGAATATTTTATGGGTGCATTTGGAGGGAATTGATGGCCTTGTATATTTTATTGAAATATGACACTTTAGTGTCACTACTACTGTATAGGGAATATGGACTAGAAATACGAAACTAAGCTCAAAACTCGCTCTACCGGTATTTCGGGAAGGTATAATGCCCTGATAGTATAATGCCCTGATTGACCTGATTTCATATACATGCTGAAATAAAGAGTTTTTTTGCACATTAACAATATTATTTTTATTGGCAATGATTAATATTATCATTTTCTTTCAGAAGCATGAAGAAAATGCAGAATCAAAATATTTTTGTATGTTTTATTTGACTTAGAAATTTGACAGGGGTATAATGTCCTGATTTTGGAGTATAATGACCTTATGACCTGATAGTATAAAAACCTCTAATAAACACAATTTAAGATTATTTAAATATTAATATTTGATAAAATATCTTTTAAGAGTGATATATGAAGTTAGTTTAATTAAGTCTGGGTGAAAATGTGTTTTATATATTGCCCGAAATCACTTTTGAAGTTTGTAGGGGGTATAATGTCCTGATTTCTGAATGCCCTGATTGACCTGATTTACGTGTAAACATAGACATAATGATAAAAATGCATATTATCAACTTAAATATTACATTTTATTGAGGGAATTATTGATTACATATGGTGAAATTCTATACTGGTATTACGTACACTTTTTATTATTAAGAATTTTATTAGTCAAGAAAAGGTAATGACCTAGCTGATATTTTGAAATCACCAAAGACTCATCTGATGGCCTGATATTTTGGAATGTCTTGATTGTTTAATATCTACATAATCTTAAAAAATCTCAGTTGCTGCATTTTAAAATAATTATTAACCTCAATTTCATTTTCCATACATAATCCCATTGTATATATATATATTACAATAAAATATGTTCAATTCCATACATCTAAAATCCTGATATAATATATTTCGAAGAAAAAAATCAGATGGTGTAATTTGTTTTCAAAACATTATATTAATTTTTTATTTGTTTATTAAACAATCTTATTTGCAATTTAGCACCTAAATATCTGCAACAATATAAGAAGAAATTTATTTTGAAATGGCCTTATATATACAAATGTATTTCTACTTATTACAATGTTTTACCATACTTCAGATCTATATCAATCCACCAGATATAGCAGAG